GGGGGCTGCACTCTGCACATGCCCAGAGGCGCGGGGTCTTCACCGCTAGCCCACTCGGGAGGCTCCGGAAGGGCGGCGATCTTGAGGCCCGGATGGCGAGCGCGGGCCGAGCCCCTCCGCAGAGCCTGCGCCTGGAGAACGCCTCGCTGCTGTCCGAGGGGGCCCTGCAGGACGGGCACCGCCTCTGGATCGGGAACCTCGACCCCAAGATCACCGAGTGAGTCCGGCGGGGGGGGCGACTGGGGGGGCTCCACCACCCCCGAGGAGGAGGAGGAGGAGATCTGGGCCTTCTTCCCACCAGTGTCGCCTGCCGCCCCCTCCCCAGCCGAGAGACCCTCCTTGCATCCCCCGCCCCCTTTGAGCTGCTCCTGAGCTCCTTTCCCTGCCTGGGACGGTTGGCTTTGGTCCCCTGGGGTGGGGGGGCAAGGACACCCCCCCCCCAGCCAAAAGACCCTCCTTGCATCCCCTCTTTGAATTGTTTCTGAACCCCTTTTCCTGCCTGGGACGGCTGGACTTGGTCCCCACCCTCAGGACCCCTCCAAGGAAGCAACTGCAGGCCCCCCTCCCTTCCCCAGCCAAGAGACCCTCCTTGTGTTCCCTCTTGGGGCTGATCTGCTTCTGAGCTCCTTTCCCTGCCTGGGACGGCTGGCCTTTGTCCCCTGGATCAGGACCCCGGGGTGGGGGGTGAGCGCTGGGCATCCCCCTCCAAGGCAGGAAGGGCAACCCCCGCCCCCCATCTTTAAGGCTGCAGCTGCCTGTGGCCCCCCCCCTCTGTTTCTGGTGGCATCAAACGGCGAAGTGGGTGCACGTTTGACATTCCCTTGGCCTCCCGTGATTAGTGCATTTAAATTGCCTGCTAACATGTTTGAGCCCCTTGAAGTGGGGCAATTAAATGAGGAGGAGGAGGAGGCGAGCTTGATTGCCGGGAGGGAGATTAACCAGCGGCGGCGTTGGGGCAACCGTTTTGCCTCCCCCTCCCAGCCCCACTTTGCCAAACAATCTCCGATTTATGCATTCCAAGTGGCTGTCTTGTCTTATCTCCCCCGATATTGTCTGCCTCTCAGCTGTGGAAGCAATTTTTGCCCGGCTCCCATCTCCTTCTCCCGTCCGCAAGTGCTTTTTTTTTTGTTCCAAGTGCTCTTCTTTTCAGTTGGGCAGGGTCCTAATCGCGCCTCTAAGTGGAAATCTGTCATTAATGCCCTCTTGACGAGGATCCATTCAGGGCTGCGCTAACCGGCCTCTTCTCTGTTTTGCATTAATTACCATTTATGGGGGCCAGTGTTTGTATTGCTGAGCCTTCTCGGGGGTTGAGCAATTTGTGGCGGCTGCTCAGCTGATGGGCACTCGCAAAGGGAGGCTTTTCGGCGCCTGAATTGGTGTTGTGAAGTTTTTGGAAGTTAAAAGCATCTCTGAGCATAAGCGTACTGACGGGGGCCAGTTGGATTGGCAGGCTGGGGAATCTGAGATTCTGTCCCCAGAATACAGGTGTCTTGTGTGGATCGCTGCCCTGGCTATGACAGCAGTTGCTTAAAAAGTTTTAGGTTCTGCATCATGACAATGCAATCTGATAAAAGGTTCGAAGACCCTTTGAGGTCTCCCAGCCAGGTGCAGAATGGAACATTTGGCGTTGAGCCCATTTGATGTACGTTTTATGCCACAACAGAATTTACGTCCCTTAGCATTTTTCACACGTTCAGAGTAACAGAACAGAAGCTTCCGCGCTGTCCTTCCTGGCCCACTTCTTTTCGCTTCAGTTTGCTTCCGCTCACCTGTCTTCCAGGTGAGCATTCTGCCCTTCTGGGATAAAAAACAACCCCGCTTTGCATTGCAACCGTAAGGGAAGCGAGTGGGGCCTCTATACACGCAAGAGGCCTCTCCGCCTCTCCCTTTAAGATCCACCCCGAGGAATTGTCCTGGCGTAAATGGCTTTAGCATGTGGCTGGGGCCATTCCCATATCCTTAGGCAAGCATTGTTTGAAGCAACCTTCAACTCGGCCTTTGAATAGCGCTCAGGGTGCCAGGAGGAAAACTGGCGGAAAAGGAAATGGGACTTGGACAGATTGTCTGGCCTGTGTTTTGGATAGCAGGAAGTAGGAACGGGGCCTACTCTCCTTCCTCTGCCTGGGGCTTCTGGTCCCAGGTACCCCATCAAAATAGCTCTGGTAATTTTCAGCAGCCCGGCTTCCTGTTCCCTGTCCGTAATGCAGCTCTTTCGTTACTCAGAAATGATTTTAGCACCTTGTAAATAACAGTCAAGGATGTCGGAAGTAAAGAATTGGGCAGAGAAGCGGGATTTGTAGAGGATGGACACAAAGCAAAAACTTACAGGTAGCTCGTAAACTTACAGGTTGCCCTAAATAATATTCTTTCCTTGAGAGTCCCGGAGTTGAGTGTCGTAGGTTCCACAACAGAGCAGCTCTGTGGGGAGATGATCAAATATTAACCAAAGATTCAAACTCGTGCCTGTCATTTCTTTTTCTTTAGACTCCAGACATGTTCATCTTGTAGTAGAAGAAAATCAGAAAGGGACTTGGCAAAGATGCCAGAGACAATCTTAACTGCCCATACCAGAATCCTGCCATCACCGAGTCTGGGGGATTCACTGGCTCATTACCTGGCACTCGGGTTGATGGGATTGAGCATTTCCCTGCCTTTCCCCTGTCCTGGGATTTAAGCAGGGGGACTTGGAAACGGCTCCCCCCCCCCCCTTACTCTTTTGGGAGACAACCCAAGGAAAGCCCTACAATTTGAATTTGGATGAATTTCAGGCTGATGAACCTGGCCAAACAGGCCACAAAGTTGCCAAAGGAAATCTAATGAGGTTCCTCGAGGCAAGTTGCTTGATGTTTTTTGTTTCGAGAACAGGATGAACTGTGGCCGTTTGGGACTAAGGAAAACAAGCACATTTGCCAAAGAGAGGAGAAGAGTCGGGGGGGAGGGGGGAGGCAGGGGGCAGAAGGAGAATAGGGGTATTTTTATGCTCCTAACAATAGCTAATAAATCTTCAGATGACTTCCAGAAATAAATAAGCCTAAATTATGTGGCATATCTTCGTGGCTCAAAATATTCCTCGGCTTATTGTAGGGACGATGCCCTCAAATTAGCTACCATATAAGGATAGATTATAGAAAGAAGAGTGTTATGATCTAACTGGAGAGAGAGAGGTGAAAACATGACTCTACTTATAATTGCCCTGAAGCCACCTCTTTTGTGCCTTTTTTCCCCCCATTTTTCTTAAACTCTTTTTTTCCACACTTTTTTGTTTTCTCTTTGCTTTTTTGCATTTGCTTTTTTTCTTACTTTATAAGTGGGCCAGCTTCTCTCTCTCCGCCCCCCCCCCCCCCCCCGCGCTTTTTCCTGGAAAATATCTGCCTGCTTTGGGAGACTGCTTCAATTCCTGGAATCTTCTCAGTCGTTTCAAGGAAATGTCTATATTGGTGGGAACCCACAGGAAGAGGTACAGCTGGCCAGGGAAGCTGTGGATTCCCTTCCCTCCCCAAAGGTCCCCAATGACCCCTTGTTGGCCCTACCATATTTCCTTTGGCCACCTGACACTGCATGGCCATCATCCTGAAATGCCTTCAGGCAAAAAAAAAACAAACAGTAACATTGCTTTTCTTCTTTAATGGGTTTCTATAGCAGAATTATTCATCTCCTTTATCCTCCCTTCCAGATATCACCTTCTCAAACTCCTGCAGAAATTTGGCAAGGTGAAGCAGTTTGACTTCCTCTTCCATAAGTCAGGAGTCCTGGAGGGGCAGCCCAGGGGCTACTGCTTTGTGAACTTCGAGACCAAACAGGTAGGTTGAGCCTTTGATTAACTGAAGAGGCCAGGCCTTCAGATGTCTCTCCAGCCCAGCAGCCTTTCTCAAGGGTTGTTTTTTTCTTCTTCCTCTCTCTCAGGAGGCAGAACAGGCCATCCATTGCCTCAACGGGAAGCTGGCGCTCTCCAAGAAGCTGGTTGTGCGGTGGGCTCACGCCCAGGTCAAGGTGAGCCTGCTCCCTGTCTCCGCCGGTGTCAGAGTGGGGCCCTCTTTCTTCCCCCACAACAGGCGGGTGTTCCTTCACGTCTCTGTGAAGTTGGTCGAGCTGCGCAACAATCTTTGTGTCCAGCACACAATCTTTGGGAAGTGGCCCAAGGCCAGTTGCAAATTAAACAGCCACAGAGGGGAAAGCCCTGTCGAAACTAACCTGGGTTACAATTGCTTTTTAATGGGCTTAACCAATATTACTTGCTCTTCTTGTGTTGATTGAAATTCCATCGTTACTAAAAATGGCGGTGTCACCATCTGAAGGGCCACAAGGACGTTTCTGTTTCAGCTGGTGGGGTTTAATTTCTGCTCTTTCTCCCCCCTCCCTGCCAGAGGTATGACCAGAATAAGAACGAGAAGACCCTTCCCATCAGTCTGGAGCCATCTTCCAGCACGGAGACCCACCAGTCCAACCTGAGGTAAGATCTGCCTCCAATTGTGGGAGGGGGGAAACTATCCTTTGACAGTCAGCTAGAACATAACGGGACCCCAAAGAGCAGGAAAGGGTTTTTTTGGTTGGGACATTCCCCATCCTAACATCTGGCTTCCCATAGTTTAAAGAGGTTTCTTTCGAAGAGACTGCAAGCTTGATGGCTGAATAGGGACAGGACACAAGTTTCACCTGGCACTGCAGTCAGAAGTAAAGCCGACTTTGAAAAAGCTGATCTTCCAAGCTCCCATTAGGCCTAATTTCACGGATTTCTTGGTTAATGCTTCTTAGCTGACTTTCAACCCAGGGGTCGCCTACCTTTTGGACCTCAGGGACCACCAAACTCACAATTTTAAATCCCGCGGGCCACTAATATGAATTTTGACTTGACGGTGGCTTGCTGACGTTTTCCCAGGGTCTCTGAAGAAAGCAGCAGAGACCCTGGGAAAATCCCCCAAAAAGTCTGCAGGAATATTGCCCACCCCGTTTTCTTACCGATCGATCATTCTTTATTTGGGATCGCAGGATACTGTCTCCCAGAGAGAGGGGGGGGGCAAGTTCCCCCCCCCCCCCCGCCCTTTCCTTCCTCCCCTCACTACCTCGTGTTGTTCGCAATGCAAGCGACGCAAGTTCCCGCGGGCCATGTGGGCAGCGCAGCCTTGTGTTCCCACGCAGCCTAGATTAATTGCTTTTGGGGAGGGGGGACATTTCTCTGCGGACCACCAAAATTTTCCCACGGACCACCAGTGGCCCCCGGCCCACTGGTTGGCAGCCACTGTTTCAACCCATAATACTTTGCCATGTATTGTGCGTCATGGCTAGCTGTGGCTGACTGATCTAAAAGGAACTTAGCAAATGGGGAAAAGAAGACAGCGCAGCTGAAGTTCACCGAGCAGCGAGGAGCGCAAAACGCAGGAGAGCCTTCCTTTGCTAACTGAACAAACGGGGCATCGCCTAGCTATTCAGAAGGGGCCAGGGACAGCCATCAGCAGAGCTTTCCCCCAGCAACCGGACAGCCTCGATCTGCAGAATTAAATGCCCCTCTGGGGGAGTGTGCATGTGGGACTCACAGCCACATGAGCACATGTGGGGACTGTGCGATGAAAGAAAAGGGACCTGGAGGAGGGTGTGGCTTTGAACCCAGGGACAGCGGGGTGGGTGGGAGGGGGCAGGCTTCTGCATGCACAAGGCTTCTGACTCTAAATCCGGGCCGCAGACAAGGTGACGTTTCAGCCGCCTCTGTTATTCACTCTGCAGCGTCAGTACAAAAATCAAAGCCATTGAAACGAAGCTGAAAATGATGTCGGAGAATCCCGACGCCGAGTTCCCACCGGCGGCCCCCTACACGTACTTCAAGGCCCCCGAGAAAAAACGGACTGGCCCCTACTCCAGAGCTGCTTGGAAGTCCAAGAGGTGATGAGCGCTCTCGACAGATGGAAAGCCAGCTAGGAGGAACCGAGATAGGCGCTGCCCTGTCCTGGGCCTCGTGTGGGACTGCTGCGATTCCTCCTTTGCACACACGGAAGTCAACACTTCTGAGGGAAACGGCTGTAGCACCATCCATAAATCTGTATACAGCTTCTCCAACAAACTCAACTGGTTTAGTAGTAAAACCAGATTTCCTCTCCTCTCCTCCCCCCCTAGCTAGATCCAGCTCCAAGATGTGTGTGTGTGTGTGTGTGTGTGTGTTTCAGTATGTTTTCACCACTTCAGTATTTGTTTTGACCTGAAGATAACGAAGAGTTCTGATGGCCTATCCAGAATATTATCTCTATCCAGTAGTAAAACATGCTTTGGGTTGCCTGATCTCTCCAGCAAGAGAAAAACCAGAGTTTCTTGCATCCTGAAACCCGGGAAAAAGCCAAAAGGGGGCAATGAAATTGGTAATAGTTGTCTGTGAGTAACAGCTGCATCGAACACATCTGGGCATCATCGGTGTATGCATTTTTTTTTTTTTTTTTAAAGTGAACATCACAGGAATAAAACTTTTAGCCCACTTTTAAAAGTGCACCTTGTTAAACTGGGATCATTTGTCAAAAATCTCTTGACTTCAAAACTGGTAAATTAGCCATCAGAATCTGGGTGATTTAAAAAAACAAAAACAAAAATTCTGTAATTAAAGCATGAGAGTCCTCGGCTAAATTTGAAGCCTTGCAGGGGAAGGTTGGCATTGGACCGGACAGGCTGTGGAGAAGCAGAGTGGCCGGCCACAGTCTTGAAACGACCTTCCCCTTTTTCCCCTGCCCTGTTTGGGTGTCAGTCCCAATCAGGGTGATTATCCTCGGTCTGGGCCCTGTTCATCTCCGGTTACTTCCTCCAAACTGGAAAGTCACAGCCGGGCCCTTGCCTCCTATCCGGTTACATACAGGTTCACTCTTTCTCTCTCTCTCTCACACACACACACCCTGTGGCCATCCACAGCAGCAGCAGCTAAGAACGAGGCAAGAGAAAGTACACATTCCCCTCTCCCCTAGAACTCCCAGGTGAGGCACCTGGGTGACTCCAAGCTGGGCTGAGGCCTTCCTGAGCAACCCCTCTTCTTCGCAGGAGGCAGGCAGCTCTGTGTCCCAGGCCAGGTGCTTCTACCTGGGAGGTGAATGCTAGAGGGGCTTAGCCCAGGAGTCCCTCTGTGCTGATAGCCTGCTTCGCCTTCCCTCCTGGGCTGGCTGTGCCCTCCGGTTGGGTTTCTGGTGGGAAGGGGCAGGGGAGACCCAGGCCAGGCCTTCCTACGGCCTTTGCTGCTCCTGGCCTCTCCTTCATCCTCGCCCTGTTTAGCCGCAAGCAAGGAAGGAGGAACTTGGAGGAGGCGGTGTGTGTGTGGGGGGGGAGAGAATCGACCCAGGCAGAAAAGGGGGGAAGGAGGGGAAAAAAATCCTCTCTGCCAGCGGGCAGTGAGTGAGTCCTGTCTGTGCAGCTGCAGAGGGGAGCTCCTTATGGTGCCCCCCACATTGTGGAAGAATGAGCCCCCAGGCGAGCAGCCCCCGGCTGAGGTGAGGCTCTGCGCCTGGGAAGCAGGTGGGCTGAAGTCCGAGAAGGGAGAAGAGAAGAAGAGATCTGGGCCAGGAGGGAACCAGGCTGCCCGGGTCTTCGGAGGAGAAGCGGGTCCCTCGGGAGGGGGAGGACTGGACGGGGCTCCTTGTTGGTCTAGCCTGGGGGAAACTGGTCACCAGGAGCCCCCTTTCCTGCCCTGCAGTTTGGGCTTGGGCTTGGTCCAATGTGTGTGGATGTCCCGTTTGCGAGTGGGGAGGGGGCCTTCCAGTGGATGAGGTCCTCGGGTTCCCCCCCCCCTTTCCAGGTATCTGTTGCCGCTGGTGGTTGGGAGAGGGGGGGGGTGTTGTTGAGCGCCAGGAAATTTTGGAGGGAGGGGAGGAATGGAGAGGCTTGTAACCTCTTGGAGGAGAGCGGTGCCCTTCTCTTATTTGGGGAGTGGGGGGGTCCCTCTCTTCCCATCGTTGGAGGGAGAGCAAGGGCAGCGAGAGGGGCGCAGGAAAGCCTGGCCTGCGGTCCTTGCGCCCCCCCCCCCCCCC